CACACAGAGCTCAGTATGGATAATAATTTCAATCTTGTCACTCTTAAAAAAGATTAAATAATCACATATTTTCTCATTTATGACAACAGAGGCCATCTTCAGTGTACAGTAAGTGGACTGTCTAATTACAATTGAATGTAGTTAGACAGTCCAATACCAGTGACGACCATAAACCACACAATCTATTCCCAGCATGGATTTTACACATAACCTGTAACCAATGCAGGCAATGCTATTGCAAAGACAAACTTTATATAACTGTTTATAAGTTTTGCTTAACATTTAAGTAGATATCAAATGTGCTGTTCCACAGTATTGCACATTTAAATTACCCACTGCTTCTTCTGAAATAAACAGAAACATATGCTGGCTGCATATGCTCCACACTGCTTTATTTAGACTGTTCTATAGCGACACGACAACAAGAGTGTTTTTGTGAAAAAGACACATGGGTAAATTGCAACTGTTATACAAAACAAGACTTGGGAAGAGGAAAAGTAAAGAGTAAAAGTGTTCAGAGCACAGATGCACCCGCTCTCTTGCTATCTCCTGTGCTTGTGGGTATACTGCCGATCCAGCTATTCTTGTTGGTTTGTTAATTGTTTGTCACCCACCAGGTGCCATCTGTCTGTAGTCCCACAGTCCCCGAGCCATGTGGGCCGGCCTGCCTGGCGCCTGCCAACGTCACTGACCTGCAGCAACCGTCCACACCTCCGTCACACACCTCCTGATCCGTCTGGGATAAATAGCTTCTCCCTCAACTTCTGTGCCGCCATCGCGGCTTCCCAATCTGTCCTGTGTTAGAAGTAGAAGAGGGAGGGGGGTGACAGGAAGAGACAGGGAGGGAGGGAGGGAAAGAGAGACACAAATAAGAGGAAGGAATGGGTAAATGGATAGAGAAATGCATAGTGTGAGAATGAACAAGACACAGAGATAGATGTGCGCAAAGATAAAATGGCCTGTTTGTGCTTCCTGATCTGTCTCATTTTGCAGAAAACACAGTTCAAACATCACAGGCTGCTACAATAACTCTGCAACAACTGTCGCATTTGTGTCTACAAGCCTTGCATACTGTGGGTGCCAGATCAACAATCAAATTCTGATTTCATTATAGCATTATTTTGCACAGCACTGACTGCACCTCTCTACTTTAGGAGACACACCAACAGGCAAGGGAGGTCACCTTCACCTGGGCCTGATGTTGGGGCAGCTGCTTGTTGAAAAATGAGATCAGCTGCTTGCTCACCGGGATATACTGCAGTCTGGAAGTACCCAGGGTCTAGTGTACCAGGTAGCATACGGTGGGCCCCGTACAATAAAGACAGGGTGAACAGCCCCCTCTCTCCCAGCCTGTCTGCCTGCCTGCCTGCCATCCTGGGGCATGTTGGGTCACCTTGACAACTGGGCCCAGTGAGGGGAGCTGCACCCCACTTCAGGGCAAAGAAGAAGGCAGTATGGGTAATGAGGCGTTGCCATGCAAGTGGAACAGCTTTTGAATAACCCCATCCGCACACAGATACACATACACACTATTCTATTTGTGTTTACAGGAGGAACAACAGCTTGTAGAAGAAACCTCTGCGGAGTTGTTGGTCCAGGAAGAAAGAGATTCATGGGCATCATGGTGGAGGTCAGCTAGTCAGGAGAGAGTTCATGCACAGATAACTTCAATAAAGCATCTAAACGTGATATATGACGTATATGTGATGCATGAAAAAGGATTAGCGGGAGTGCTTTGCTATTATGTAGAAACACCGGCAGGATGTGAACCTATTGTTGTGTCAAAACTCCCTCATCATAATGAAATACTTGTAAAGGTTATAGTGTTTCTCTTCTTTCCAAACTGAAATTTATGTTTTGTGGACTCACTAGATTCAGCTCAGAAAACTGTAAATCCAGGCCAACGTAATGTTTATTTTAAAGGAGGAGGAAACACTGGATTGTCCTACCCAAGCAAACCTAGTTATAATGATTGTCAGAGGTGAGGTTTAATCATTCTACATCTTGGTCTCATAAATTTGGGGAAGGTACAGTATTCCCTCATGTTGACTCAACGTTAAACATTCACTAATAGCCTCAAAAACTGTGCAGTGTCCCGTGAAGCCAATGGAATCCTGTGAACGGCAGAATAAGACCCAGTGGGACTTTCTGATCACCTCTACACACAGAGACTCACAGTCAGTGTAAGGTACATTTATAATCACCACCACAGATGTAGTAATTGTTACTGAATGCAGCGGGCATGCTCTAACGGTATAGCTAGTACATATCTAGTTTCTTTGGCAGGAGAGCCAATGAGACAAAGACAAACTAGTTCATGAAACAGCATGAAGTAACATATTGCTGACCACCAGCTGCATTTGTTTGAATGGAATAAGCCTGCAATCCATGTATTAAAGCAACATAATACAAAGTAGTTGGAGTGTATATGCTTCAATCCAAAGTATGAACACTGCATATGGGTCATCAAATGTGTTTTTATTTATTTAATTGTTCTTCATGCTCACATGCTTATAGTCCTTGAGTGGTGAATATATTAACACGAAGCGACTTGTGAACTTTAGTTTCTTATCTCCTTGCAAAAAAGAAAAAAGATTCCACTTCATTATTCAGCCATTCCTTCTGTTTGCAATTGGAAACAACCCTTTCCCAGTATAAATTGCTAAAACTCTTGGAAACCGCATAGAAATTCCACAAATGCATGCACTATATCGTATTAAGCTGTAAAGCCATATTGCAGAAAAATGGACCGCAGAAGGAGTTCATTTCTTTTACAGGTTTGTAAAGATGATGTATGATAGCAGGATGAGTGTTCTTTTTCCTCTTAATACATTATACACACACACACACACACACATATACATATATTTATTTATTTATTTATTTTACTCCTGTCTGTCCACTCTGAATGCTAGTTAATCTCCTGCAAACTTTGCTACAGATGCTGGCAGATCGGTTTGAAATGATTATGGGAGCCAGACCCGCTGTCCAGCTTTCCAGTAACACTCCTACATGGAGATGGAACCAGAACTTGGGCTGAGGCTGAGACTGGAGCTGGTCTGCCAGGGGATGGATGCCAACAGGCCCAAGAAATTAATACCAGCACTGGGGCCTCACTAAGGTTCAACATTTAGCTCTCGCTGGAGCAGAAAAGACGACATGACCGGCAATGATGTCACCAGAAAAGGTGGCTTGACTGAATGCTAGCTATGGTTCACCTGGAACTAACAGGGGGAATTAGTTCCCATCGATGAGAAACACCCCAAAACAGAAACATGACTTATTTGAATATACGCCTCAATATAAGGAAAAAATTAGATTTACATATAAAACCATGTAATTTCTAAATCATCCCATCGACGAACCATCTATGAAGTCCATCTCTTGGACTTCATTCAAACTAAGAAAACTCTCAGTCTAAGCATTACTTTTCTGTTCAGCAGCAGCATTTCTATGATCCAAAAGAAAGGGAGTGGAAGTGTAGCAACAATGATGAGTGAAACTGAACCACAGATCCCAAACCAAACCACAGCTTCCTGACTTTTGCTGCACCCATCACATTAGACTTCAGTTGCCAAAAAAAATCTGATTTACTTTGACACAACATATTAATCACCCCCCGAAGGGGAATTACAATATTATTAACCGCTGGAAAAAAACCTGATGAGAAAATGAGTTGATAAGATACAGATGCACGTTATTAGGACCATCGTGGATTTGACGCTCTTGGCTTCTGTCTTTCGGTTTGAAGACACAACGGTTTTGACTATACTGTAAAAACAATAAAATCAAATCATAGTCACTTTCTGTCACTGCACATTCGCAGAGAGTTAAGCGTTGCCATCATTTCTGTGCTTTTTAATGAGCTCTGGGGACATTACAGGCAGTTTATAAGCTGCAATTGTGATCCTCTGTGTCTAATCACAGCAACGATGGTTTAAACATCAGGAAATCATTTACATTGCTCTGGCTCAAGGGGAGTTTCAAAGTATCCAAGTAAAATTATGATAACAGAAGACTACTTACACACTCGAGTGTGCACACGGACTGTTTTACAGACCAGACTAGCTTGCGTCTGTAAGATATAACTCAAAATGTGGTGTCTTAATACTTTGCAGGGAACTGAATAGATTAATGGATTAAGAAAAGACAACCATTTAATTGCATTTTAAAGCTTCTGCAGTAAAACAGGGTATGTAGCCATTTTAATCTAATGACTTCATCATTCAAAACAAAAGCCTTGTAATTAATTTGTAACTCTATAATTGACTTGTAATGAATTTATAAAACTTTTCATCCCTCTTAAAAAAGAAAAAAAAACAACTTCAAATGGGAACAAACAATCAATCATCTCAATGTCTGTTGCAATACTAATGAACCGCAACGGATTCCTGTCAAAGAAATGAAGGCCAACATGTTTCAATAAGGACGCTTGTTTCTTCTTCCCATAAATATGTTATCCTCGGTTATGCCAGTGCTGGAAAGCGTCCAACTCAAGCCATGAGACAACATATTTTGTGTGGGCTAGCTAATAATGTTTGCCCCCACTGCTTCTATCTGTCCCTGCCCTAAGAAAAAGAAAAAAAACCACTCTAAGAGTAGGAGGATTTCATGTACGTTAACGGGAAACTTTCATTTTGTAATGGAAGAATGGAGTCATGGTGTAGAGTAAAAATAAAAACTGCAAAAAGAGAGAGCTTAAGCCAGCCTAGTTCACAGTGGGATAAAGAATTTCGCTTACTGACCCTTTTAATGGAAACCGACACTGAACATTCAGCTGGGGGAACAAATACACAAAACGGCAGAGCTGCTATTTTTCTTTTTCCACTCCGTTTTGCTTTTTTTAACCACCTAACACTCCCCGATGGCGCACTGTCCTAAAACTGACCAGCCTTGAAATATGACGAGTTTAATAGGTCCTACATCACCGCTGAGCACGATTGAGTTACAAGAGTAACAACTGGTCTTTCCCAGACCTAAGCAGAGCACCAGAGCCCACGGAGGAGCAGTGTGAACATAACCCCTTGTCAAAAGGGTTCAAAGCCAGGAGGAGACAGAAGTCTGAAGGAATGGAAAAAGTGGAATAAAGGGGGAAAAAAGCTCCTTAAAGGAAGTAGACTTTCAGGTGGGTAGGGATTCAGCATAGCTGCTCTGATGACAGGTAAGGATAAGAAGAGTAGTCGCTCGTCACAATATTGCAGCGCTGGCGGGTGGGTGGGCCACGAGGGGAGGTAAAAATAGAGGAAGGGAGGCGGGGGGGGGTGCAGGAGGCAGGGCAGCCTTACCGGCGCTGTCACCAGCCCCTGCGTGTTTGGATAAGACCCATGGAACATGTGGGGGAATCAGCATGAGGCATCACACCTGGAGGAAAAGACAACTAAATCCAACCCCCAGTGCAGCAGGCCCTGGCTCCACCAAGTCTAGCCAGCATCTGGAATGGATATCTGGAGATGCAGTCGAATTCACAGCCTCTTCCACGTGCGCTTCTCACTCTACCACTGTTTTTCTTTTTTTTTAATGTACAGTGTAGGTTGTAGAGACTCACAGAGGAATTGTGTTTATAAATAAAGGCTTTTTCTCGAACTTGGTGTTATCCCATCTGCTTGGCAGTAACGGTATTGTGTTGTCAGTAAACTATAATACACTTTTTTTTTCTTATAATTGCTAGCTTCCCTTCACCCCCAATATGCTTCCACTTGACTCCTCTTGGCTTTAGCAAGTGTACAGATGCCAGCAGTTTTTGGTTACAGTAGCCTCATTCTTCTTTTGCCATCTTTTAGCATGTTTCAAAGGAACAATGTGATCCACTCACAGTCAAAAACAGAACTTTGTATATACCCAAGCATATCTTTTGATGTTTCCGGGGTAACGACATGCTTTCCTGGACTACAAGTTTAAACTGTTAGTGCCTGACAATAGATGAGAAGCCACCACCGCTGCCCACGACCTGCACGACGCACCACAGTGGCTGTGTTTTATGGATGTTTGTGTGTATGTGTTTGCATATGCTGTTTGTCACGGGCCAACCGTCCATGTTGTGACTGGAAGAATCCCGGGCACAATGTTTGTTTACACGGAACCGCTCACTCACCCAAATAATCAGCCGCTGTGGGCCTTTCTAATCCCTACACAAAGTCAATGGAGCCAGGTTGAGCTGGCGACAGGCGAGATAAGATACTCAAACACAGCCTCTTGATCTACGAGCCGCGGCCTCTCCTTCCCACACCCTCTGTCCCCCCTTTGTTTCCTCTATTGCAATTCCCAACGTGACACGGATTTGAAGCTCACGGGACGCATTCAGAAAGCGGGCCCGCTTGGCTTCACTGTGTCGCCTCCCTCTACCTAGCTGGTCAGCTGAATTTTTGTTTTGGGATTTTTCTTTTTGTTTTCATCCTTTTTGCACGTTCTCGCAGCGCAACGTACAAGTCAAAGCAAGCTGCCGTGGTCTGAAGAAACACCCACTCGCTTGCAAAGGAATGCATATCTGAATTAGTGTATTGTTATGGTTTTGGCTACGTCGGTACTCACTTTGCAACTCCCGGTGTGCGAGTGTGATTCTGCATGCGTGCTCGTGTATACACTGATAGAAGTATGTGGCGAAACATTCATTAACATTCCATTCATGACCTCGGTATTATGTCCACAGTGACAGAGAGCATATATTTGCCTTTCACACCTCTTGCATCGGATGAGGGGAAATGATAGAGCGTTATGTGTGTCAGTGTGTGTGTGTGTGTGTGTGTGTGTGAATGAGATAGAGGGACAGAACGAGGGAGAGAGCAGCAGGGGGACGGATAAAACACAGCTCGCTGATACAACATAATCTATCTGGAACCATGTCTCAATATCACAATATTTCACACATTTACGTATCACAAATGTGGCAGTGGCAGCCTTCTCCTCAGATCAGTGGAGTTATTTCTGCCTTGTGTGCTGGATGCTGCAGGGCCGAGATACAGTTTGCAACGGCACAGATGGGAGAGGCTATAGCATCGGTACCACAGTATCACATGCAAAAATGTTTGGTATGTTTTAACACAGATAAAGCTGACATATTCCGAGGCGTTTCGCAGACAATACCCATGAAGGAACAATCTCCCATCTGGCAGTGCAGTCTCTCTAAAATCCTCTCTGTCATGCTCAATGAGAACTGGAGAGACAAAACATTCTCTGTCTGTATATCAGTCCTTATCAAGGCTGTACCTTGGGCCTTGTTGGATATCAGCAAAACATCACCCCGCAGGGTTAGGGCCTTTTAAAAAAGGAAAACCCTGCACTTTATGTAGTAGCTCCAAATTTATAAACATCTCTTCACGGTTTGACGCTATACAGAAGCAGTTTATGTATTCGTCCCGAGGGTATAAGTATGGGATTGGATAGCAGCATAGTGGACAAACTTCTTAGCTCTGGAACCACATGTACAATTTCCCGGTTAGGATCAAATCGATCAGCTTTACACTGTGTCCTCTTCCCTTCCCACGCCTCAGTAAAGAAGGATTACTTTCTGAGGCTGGGTTACCCGCCACCCTTAGGAGAGGAATGCCAATGAAGTCACTGCTGTACTGCTTCTCTCCACATGATGGTGCAGAGGACAACTCTCCCCCCCTGACGGCATGAAAGCTCACATTCATCTTTAGGTCGTTACATATGTAGATCCGTGCACACAGACGCACGTGCTGAAACACGGACGATGTATTGAGAGGGATTATTTTGAACTACATCAACAAACAATCCGCCCGCCATCTGAAATACTTATTTTCATGTATATAAATTGAATTCATTACGTTTGCGCTGTTTGCACTGAAGAGATGCGAATTTGTGTAATGGCTTAAGTTGAGTGGGCATTTTTAATTAGTTTTTTTTTTTTTTCATTTAAAGCTGCGTCCTCTTTCATCTCCTGCTGTATGAGGTTACTGTCTTTTAGTCAGGGAACAAAGAGCCGTACCACTCAATATGACACACAATCTGTGTCTTTGCATGCGTGCGTCTGTGTCCTTCCTGTCTCAGTGTTGTCACACCTGTACCCTCTGTCATGATGTTATCAGACCCTAAACACCTGCTCCACAGTCTAAGGTCACCAGCTACATAAAGTAAAAACTGCCTCCCTGGCACAGTGAGACGGGCATCTGAAAATACATTCTTTTGTGTGTAAATAAAAAGAGGCGTGCTTCTGTTCTATAGTTATTTATATGCAGCTCGTGTCACCCAGCACATCAGTCACAGGTGTCATATAATCCAGAGGATGACCTTAATAGTGGGAGACGGGGATGAAGAGAAGCAGAGTAAGGACACATGCAGGGACACATTCTTGTGATGTACACAGACTTTACGCTCTACAGTACCTGCTTTGCTTTTAGGAAAGCGCTATACAATATAAATTTCTCACTATGTGTTTAGATATTAAGTTCCCATCTTTAGCAACGTAACTAGTAAAGCAAAGTAAAAAGGTACTTTGATCTCACAGTTTTTAAGTAGATATATGATTATTTTGAGCTCCACGGTTTTAAAATATTATTAGTATTGGATGCTATTCTCTTCACAATTAAAAAAAACAAACAACTTTAATTCTACTAAGCATTGACACAGCACAATTGCTTATAATCTTTTTACACATAGAAAAACAGCTTGCAAAAGTTAGTGGAAATGTGAGGATCTGCTTAGCTACATTTAGCATTAGCGTTAGCAGGAAATTGTAGCTTCTCTTTTAAAGCAGCAAATTGAGAAAGATTTTAATTTCTGAAGTGCAGAGTCACTGCAGTTACACAAATACAAAAGAGAGTCGGATACCTGGTATTGTTGCATGCTTACATTGGGTGTTGTTATTATCATTTTCTTCACATTACTACGCATTGCTCCATTTTATTCTCATTAATTTGAAGGTCAGAAAAAATAAAATACATGAAAAACAATTTACTTTTTACCTTCTCCTGAAAACTGTTTGGTAAATTCTGAGGTATTTTTATGTATTTCCAAGGTAGTCTGGATATGGTGTGTAAATATCAACCTCACAAGTTAAACAAGTGTGAATTGTTTAAAGCAGTTTCACCAGCACTGCTAATAAGTGCATGACTTAGAAATTTTGCGTTTTGCTTCTATGGCACCACAGTGGACTTTATCAAACAATCATGATGTCACTGAAGGGCACACTTTCGTTTTTTTTATATAATGCGCCCCATTTTCAGAGGCTGAAAAGTAACTTGGCAATTGAATCCCTTTCATGGCAAGATGAGGTCCATTCTTTTGCTTTTTTAATATGATTCGCATCCCCCAATAAAAAAGACCTAACTATCTTTCAAGAATGGACATGTCTAAGTGCCAGAGCCACGTATCAGCCTGATGACTTGTAAAAGGGAGCTACTTAAACTACGTCCAAAAGTTCCTTGCAAAATACTCAGGAAAACTGTTCCAGGTAAATCTGGAAACAATCTGGCTTCAAAGGAGGAGATGCAAACAGATAGTGATGTGTGACCAAAATGTAAAAAAATGACTCCATTGATTGTCGCTGGAGCACTTGCTAGCTGCGCTCACTAGCTGCACTTGCTAGCTGCACTCCATATTACAGAAAGCGCAAAGGGTGAATGGAAATGAATGATGCAGTCACACAGTGAAAAGGCAAAACTTAAAAGAGCAGGTTAAAAAGCTCAACCCAAGATAGAACAGGTAGAAATGTTGTGCTGGTTTCTCACCTTTCTCACTCACTATGTGTTAATAGACCTCTCTGCATTGAATTATGCTTGTTATCAATCTCTGGCTCTCTTCCACAGCATGTCTTTTGTCCCGTGTTTCTTCTCTCACTTCAAATGGTCGCGGCAGATGGCCCCGCCCCTCCCTGAGCCTGGTTCTGCTGCAGGTTTCTTCCTGTTAAAAGGCAGTTTTTCCTTCCCACAGTCGCCAAAGTGCTTGCTCATAGGGGTCATATGATTGTTAGCTTTTTCCTCTGTATCTGTTATTGTAGGGTCAACCTTACAATATAAAGCGCCTTGAGACGACTTTGTTGTGAATTGGCGCTATATAAATAAAATTGAATTGAATGTTACATGGTTATGTCATTTTAGTTATTGTTAAACTAAGCAATTATTTGACACTTTTTAAATTCCCAGGAAAAACACTACCTCAGCTACTTTTGACTTTACATTTCACTTGCACTGTATCACTGGATATACCAAAAGTTAATTCTGTCGCTACGTCCAAATGAACAGAATCAACTTG